CCCTACACGGAAACAAGCCAAAGCCGGACACAAGCTGGCTGTGCTTGAGGGACATGGCTTCCAACGTGGTGTCTTTCCAGGGGGCTACCAGTGTGTCTGATGGCATGTGTCCATCTCTAGCAGATGTCGTGACCTTCCTTCCCTGTCTCCCCACCTGTGCTGATGCCATTCCCCCCAGATGGGATGCCTATCCCTCTGCACTTGCTCTAAATCCTGAGCATCTTTCAACTCCTACCGCCAGTGGCTGCCCTGGTACCAAAGGCACTCTCCGGTCAATCACCCCAACCTAAAACGTCTGCACCGGCTGAGTCACTCCTTTGGTGACGCGTCACTTAACCACCTCGTAATAAGTTTTCATGTCACGTTTCACAATATTAATTTACATATTGTTATTAACTTTACCCAAAGCAGTATCTTCGATCTCCAACCAGGTACACGCCTGGGGAGCAGCGATCCTGCCCGCAGAACAGTGAGCGTTGGACAGGTTTGTCGGTGCAGGCCAGAGGCTGGGAGCCGGGCCCTGGGGTCGAACGCTGGCTCTGTGACCTCCTAACCTCGGGCACGTCAGCCCGAGACAGGAAGGAAACATAAAAGCCCGAATCCTTTCATGTGCCAGTGGTCGGGCGGTTTCTGGTGTGAACTTACAAACGCCGAAGGGAGGAAAAGGACGCCGAGCTCGTAGGAGCGGATCATCAGCTGGGTGCCGTTTTTCTCTAGTGCTCCCCAGGCGGCCTTGGACAGATTCGCGCTGCAGGGACAAGGACACAGGAGGAGCCGGCTCAGTGAGGCAGTTCAGCGTGGGTCAGACGTTCACAGCTGCGAGAGCATCGGTCAGAAGCACAGACAGCAGCAATCGCGTTCCCGCGGTTTCTGGCACAGTTGTGCATTTTGGGAAATGGAATTTAAAGCCTGCTGTGCTGTGCTCCTCGAGATTTAACTAATTGCTAATTTGGGATAGCTTCACCCTCATCTGCGTTTTCGCCTGAAAACGTAATTAAAGTAATTATCCTTCCTTAGAAAGATTTTTTTTTTTCTTGTTCTCTTTTTATGACCCTGGTGTAGCTAACGATGTTTGGTTTTGTTGTATATAAAAGCAGCATTTGAGCAAAAAGCTATGTCGGTATGATCTTATACTGCAGTATCTTAAGCTTCGCATTCCGTTTATTTGCCCTTCGTTTTAGGGTAGGTGCGCTAATTTCTGTTTTCAATATAAAGCAAAGCTCTGAGGGCACTAGATTGGGATTTGTATCTGGAAAGAAACAGTGCTCTTAGAATCATGCTTTGAAAGAGTTGTAGATACAGCTAAAGTCACAAAATGTGATGAGAGGAAGGAGAGTCAGAACCGACCGGATAAGAGACACCGAGATGCTATCAGGATTAACCGCGACTGAGCTCGGAGGCAAGTGCCTTCGGAGACTTTCTCGCCAGCAGCAAATCTGGCTGAGGATGCTCATGCACCGACTAATTAACATACACCGACTGTCAGCATTTCTTCCTGTCGGGCTCACCCAAGGTCTATTTCATTTTTAGAATGTGGAGTAAAACCCCAGCTCTTCAGACCCGGCAAGCCTGACTTCGTGAACCACCGAATATTTCAAGATTCATTCGTTTTGTTTTCTTCTCAACTAAGCGCAGGAACTGTCGTCGTCATGGGAATTGGAGAGTCAAAGAGAAACAGTACCACGGAAGGCGAAAAGAGTGATCTCTGTTCCGGGTTCTACAGGAACAGACACGAAGGATGACACAAATCAGAGTTAAGGAAGCTCTTCAAGCAATTAAGCTAACTTAAAACAACGACAACTGTGTTTACAGAGCCCCCCATACTGAGGACAGGGAGCCTCTGATGCCCTAAGGCCACACAATCGTGAACACCCACGTCTGTGATGTGTCGCAAAGACATAAAATGCCGACGAAGTGGAAGTTGGCAATCAAGTGGCAAGACGCTAGGACTGGTTTCTTTAAAGTCGAAGATGATAGCTTGCTTTGAGGTCTCTCGTTAGTAAAGTCAGATGACTTCTCGGGCACAGACAGCAGTCTAACTGCAAAACCGACCAGTGAGCGTGAGGTGGTGGAAGCAGTCCTCCTACAAACATTTCCCCCATATCCTAGACTATCGCCTTCCTCATAACCACCTCGACTCGTCTGCCTCGTACCCCCACAGGCCAGAGGAACGTGCCGGAAGGATGGCTCTCATTCCCTCCATATTTCGAAGACCTGAGGGCTAATTCCAAAATAAAGATCAATGGAGCCCCTGGGGACACCTCTTCAGACAGTTTCCTCCGATCCCTCCTTCGTAGTTAGCTTCTAACAGAAGTCTAAGCATCTAGAACCTTAAACTTATCCCGAATAATGGGAGAGTAAAAGTCACTTGCAGGCTGTCTAGGTGCTAAATCAATACGCCTTGATAGAGCACCTTTAATCCTTTTTTATGCTCTGAATACACGTTGAGTGAGTGGTTGCCAGGACATGGGGTAAATATTTCCAAACTTACCCCACCTGCTCTGTGCGGGTGGTGTGCATAGGTGTGAATAGGCATCTACGAGTGTCCAGCAGAAGGACACTTGTCTTTTGTGAGGCAAAGTGACACCACAGAGCTGCTTACAAGCTCTTTTGCTCCCTAAACTCCAAAGGATTTCTAGCATCTTGTCTCCTCCATTCAGGACCTATGTCCACTACTTGTCCTGGATTCTAGCCGTGGCCACTGCCAGTCTTCAAGCCCCGATCCGCCATTCCACTCCCTCTGCCCACACCCCTCCATTTCCCCATCTCCTGGGGACCGAGCTGCTCCCCACGCCCTGTGCTGCGGTTTATTTTGTCGCTGTTGCTGGGTGTCGAATGACACCTCATCACCAAAGAAGGCTGGGGTTTGGTTGGGGTTATTAATTTACTTTGCGTTCTTTAGGGTATGGGATGATTCTGTAAGCTGGAAAATTCCAGAGGGGAGGATTCTGGGTGCCCCAAGTTGTGCTGTCCACCAGAAACTCTGCTCGGGCCGCTAATAAAGTTATGGTGAATAAAACAGTGGCTTCTGGGGGAACGAAGGTACGTGGCAGTCACGGTTCAACCAGAGCAAGAGAACCACTGGAGGGGTACGCATATGTCTGCGTGCGCATGCACACATGCATGTGCATGTGTATACAAAGATAAATATTCATGGGAATTTGACATCATGTACTGTGGGAGCTGGTCAACGCTGCCGTCTTTGCCCTGATGCTGGAACTTAAAGTCTGCAGGGCTGGCAGAAGCCCGGGAAGGATGGAAATAAAACAGAGGAGAGCAACAAGCCAGAACCACGAACAATGAGCTGAAGCCACAAGATCAGACTAAAACCATGTCAGTTCATGTTGCCTCTGGCATTAGGGGCGTAGGTGTCCTGCAGAAGCTGGGCCCTTTGCCACAGAGCTAAACACAGACCCCTGGCGAGGCACAGGGGTTAGAGAAGCTGAAGCAGGACCCAGGGGAGGGTGTGGCAGCTGCAGGTCCAGCTGCTGGCTCACGCCAACAAGATGAGCCAGCACAAAGTGACAACGTGTGGGTTATAGAAATGGCTGCTGCTCCACATCTGCCCTCCAAATCTCCATGAGATTCTCCTTTGGGGCCCGTCCTCACTGAAACGTACAAGAAAGGAGATTCTGGAAAACGGGCTTCAGCTGAGGCAAAATGACACACTGCAGAGCCGCCACAGGGTGGGTGCTTTTGTTCTGAGCCCCCGGCTAAGCTGACTGATGGTGAGTTATTCAGTCGGGCAGTTTATAGGCCCCTTAATGAGGAACTCGACTGGTGGGAGATGCTGTCACAGCTTGTGCAGTGTGGCTGCTAACTAGACACCTGATCTCAGTCCGCGACATGGAAATTTTGTTCCAAAGTCGAAACCTTTAGGAGTAAATTTAAACTAATACTGTGCAACGAGAAGTTTCTAAAGGGAAGGAATGATGCCATCTAAGGTTCATGGAGAAGGGAGGTGGGCCAATGTTGAGAAAAGACCCCTGAACCCCAGATCAGGAGAGAGGTTTTGTCCCGGCTTCCCCACTAACTGCGACACCCTAAGGCATTCTTCTCCCCAGGCCCGAGTTTCTTGTCTCTAGAATGAGGGGTTTTAGCCGATGAGGCCAAACACGGCTTCCAGACTCCAGTCTCTGGCTAGAGACGTCCGCACTCACATCTCACTAGATCGCCACCCCACCCTCCCCACGCCAATCACAAAGGTAAAATCCGCAACTTTTACTGTAACTCACCGCTAGGAGTGTTTGTCTGAAAGTTCATGATCACGTGTGGTGGAAACAGCTACGTAAGAAAGGGGGTGCTCTCTGGGCCAAACCCTGCTACGTGCATCAATGAGAGTCCCGCAACTTTTACTGTAACTCACCGCTAGGAGTGTCTGTCTGAAAGTTCATGATCACGTGCGGTGGAAACAGCTACGTAAGAAAGGAGAGGGGTGCGAGGAGGGTGCTCTCTGGGCCAAACCCTGGTACATGCATCTCTGAGAGGCTAAACTGTGGTGGCAGCAGGAGCATCGTCTGCCACCTCCCACTCTGGCCAGAGCACCTGTTAGCGCCGTTGAGCTTACTTTTAAGATTTTTAGAAGGCGTAAGCATCCCCAAGGATGACAGCTGTTATGGGAACATGTGTCAGTGATAAGACATGCCTTTTCATCATTGGTACTTAATCTAAGCAGCAGCTGCACAAAGAGTTCAGAGATGACTAACAGACTCAGCTTTTAGCCACGGAGGACCGGGGTGGGGGCTGGGGAAAGACACTTTCACAGAGGCAATAAGCACCACGTTGACAATGGATGCAGGAGAAGATGGAGACTGGGCAGCTGGGGTGACGAGGAGGAACATGATGACCTCTAGCGAACGCTGCTGTCGCCCCTGCCCTAAAACTCCACAGCGGTGTGCCTGTCACACACACAGTGACACTGTTAAGTCACCTTCCATTTTGCATTTGCTGTAGGTTTTCTTGTGTTGCCCTTGGGCTCTGTTTCTTTTTATGCACCGGAAAAAAAATTTCACAAGTAATTTGGAAAGAGAGTCTCACTGTGAAAGATTCAAGTTGTATACAGGTATGCATAAAAATAGAATCTTTAATTTTGATGGATTCTGCTAAGTTTCCCTCTGAAACATCTTTCCTGTTTAGACTACCACCTTATTCTTCTAGACCAGTGGCTCTCGACTGGGGATGATTTTGCCCCTCGGGGACATTTCACAATGTCTGGGGACATTTTTCATTGTCACAGCTGGAGGGTGGAATGCTACTGGTATCCAGCGGGTGGAGGCCGGGATGCTGTTGAGCATCCCACGAAGCACAGGACAGTCCCCATACAGAAGAACGATGTGGCCCAGGATGCCAGCAGTGCCGAGGCCGCGCGGTCCTGCTCCGGGCCTCCCGCGGCCCGGCCGTGCCTGCTTTGCATCTTCCCTGGCTTTCTCTCCACCTGACTATTCAGTTCTCTCTCACGTGCTGCCCTTCCCACCCCGTATCTTCTAAATTTACGCTCTGCTCTTGGCTCAATTCTACTGTCTCTTCTTCCTTTTCCATGCGCCAAGAATAACCATCACTTTGACGAGGATGGATCCCAGACTTCTCTCATCAAATTTCCAAATGGGCATCTCCAACCACGAGCTGGATGTCTCTACCGGGATGTCACACTGTCACCTCAAACTCGAAACTCCAAGAAGTGAACATCCCCTCTGCAAGCCAGCTCCCCATTTAATTCCCTCTGTCCACAGTCTCATTCAGTCGGGCTCA